TGAGTCATGCGAGCCACGTGTCCGAGCTGCTGAGTCATCCGATCTCGTGAGCTGATCCGAAGTGGTCCACTGAGAAGGCGACACGTACCCTCTAGGACATGTCTGAGCCTTCGCGAGAGAGCCACGAACCCCTACTTCGGACCCTAGGCCGCGGTCCAATCAGGAGGCGACACTGAGGCTTCGCATGCGCAGATCACGTGCGAGCACATGCACACCCTCACCGAGCTGCTGCCGCGTGGCCTTCGTTCCTGATGCCACCTGCCCTCGCATGCTGACTCCTCTCCTTCTAAGACCGACTTCGGACCCCTATAAATAGAAGGGGTATGCGAGCCTTCTCGGTGACTTTGGAGTTTTGCCATTTTTAGCCCCTTTTCCATATTTTCTTCATCTTAACATTCCCAAAAGCCCCGGTATCGATTATAACCCCCGGAATACGCTACGAAGAGCCCGAGAAGCCCGGAAAATTTATCTTTCGGTTTCGAAGCCCGACCCTCGTAGAGCCCGGTTTCTGAATAAAACTCCCGGTTTATTAGAAACGAACGTTTTAGGAAACGAATTGCTGCCCGATTTTCATCAACACTGTGAGTGTATAGTCACTTCATTTTTACACATAGATATGAATAGTATTTACCTTAAAATACGTGTTATGTGTAAATATATTAATTGTTTATTTGAGGTGACTTTGCGTTGATGTTTTATACAAGTTTAACTTTTTTTAAACTGTATAAGTATTTTTATCTACAAATATGTTGGGTATAACATGGGTAGATAGTTGTGGTGATTAACTAAAGTGATGAGAGGTCTCGATGTGATTTGAGATTCAGTCATCTAGCGGAGTTTGGATGACGACCACAGACTTTCTAGACAGTCCAGTGGGAAACATTAGCAGGCCCGCAACCTGTAGGTGTAAATGAACTTGGGTGTTTATTCGCTATACTCCATCCCCCTCATGGTTGCCTTTAGGACATGTAGGGCTGAGGAAACCCCTAGCAGTAGTGTCCATCCCGATGATATTCTTTAGGCTAGGTCCTTGTGAAAAGTGTTTACGGACGTAAGTGAGGATAACGGGAAGGGGTAATCAGGGTTATGTTGATTTGATTGGTGAACTTAATAAGATTATTATTACTGTGGGTTGAAAACCCTATATGCTTACCAGGCTCCCAAGCCTGACCCACTCAGCCTTTTATGTTACAGATAGTGGACCCCGAGCATAGTCGGAGTGCGATGAGAGATTTTGGATTATAGGCCAGTAGTTGTAAATAACTATTAAAAGGCTTATAATGTCTTGTTTATGCTTTTGATCTGTATCGGAACATGACATCCCGAGGTTTGAATATGAAATGAAATTATATATTTCTTAAAGAACGGTTTTGACAAACTTTTATCATATTTTTGTATGGGGGGACCAATTCCGCAACATCTTTTAAAAAGATTTCTCTGATTTTATTTTAAAAACCATAAATTAAATCGGTCTTTTCTGGCCGAGAAATTAGGGGATGTCACATAGGAATAACTTGAAGAATGAATAAAGTTTGATTATACTCACAATTTAATAATGTTGTTATTTTTTAAGAATTTTATTCATTTTTGTTGATATTCTTTTAGAATATGTATAATTATATTAAAATGTATAAGACTTTTAGTCTGTAAGAATATGTATGAATTTGTATTTAAGTTCGGATTTATAAGAATATATTAGAATGTTGTTATTTTTCAACCCCGAATTCAAGAATTTTGTTATTCCTCAATAATATTCTAATAGAATAAAATTCTAAAAGAACATATTTCTAACAAAAAAATATTCTTACAGAATAAAATCGGTTATGTTTACAAAGTAAGTTAAAATTAAAATTGAATTAATTTAAAAAATCAGAATTTTTGAATTAGGAGAATTAATTATCCTTAAAAATCCGAAAAATTCCTTTTATAAACGTAGTTAATTGTCCAAAATACCTTTTGCTAAAAATTGTGTGATTATATGGTACATGTTATCCCATTGTAGTATCATACACTCTCAAATCATATCCATTGATTAATTCTATCCGTTGGTCCAGATCTGTGCATTCTGGCACACAATAGTTAGTAAAAAGTAAAAACAAAATAACCTAAGTCTATATATATATATATATATATATATATATATATATATATATATATATATATATATAAAAGTGAGGGTAAAATAGAGTTTTCAAATAAATTAAGAATATGCAGTGATATTTCTTTAAATTAAATGTGCACATTTTCAAATTTTTAAAATTTAAACTAAAAATAAAAATACCAATCTAACCAAACTACAAGGACAAAAACTATAATTACTATTCAAATTAAAAATTGTGGCCCTTACATGTTTTCCTACGGGCTTCTATACTTAGAAGAACCTTTTAGAGAGGTGGGTATGGGCAACGATCCAATGGGCGTTATTGGGTGTTATAACACGTGAACACCGCCCCCCTTCCCTGTTATCAGGTGTTATTAGAATGCGCGTTACTCCCCATTACCACCATAACATTTTATAACGCTGTTTTTTTGTCTTTTTCCCAATAACGCCGGTGTGGTCTACTGGGCATTGCCCACAGCTACCGGTCTTAAAAAAATCCTTGGGGTTCTCAAAAGTCATATAGGAGATACAAAGAACCACAGAGGAAGGTTCACATAGAGGGCAAGTTGATCTTTTTTTTTTTTAAAGATCGAGACTTAAAATCAAAGACTTACCTTACAAACGCTTTTCTCATAAATTGCTACGTGCCCAAAATATTGTCAAATGATTTTTTTTTTTTTTTTTTAATGTAGGTTGAAATAGTTAGGATGCTTAGTGATGTTTATTCATCCCAGGTCTAAAAGTAGTGATTTGTGGAAAATAATTTTTGAAAGTGGGCATATGATCATTAATTACAATAAAAGAAACAAACCATTATATTCTCTAGTGTATATTTAAGACGAGCCTTCTTCAAAGCCAAACAACACAAACTAATCCTTGAACAATGGCAGCCATTAATAACAATCAAACTACACCTCCAACCAACATTTTTTTTCTCTCTTCTTACTTCAGGTCTCTTTCCAAAACCCCACAAAGGCTAAGGAGGAGAGTTCTAGCGACATGGACACCAGAACAGGAGCTCAACCAAATGAGGCAAAGGTCTGGTGCTGACATGAAGAGAAAACTCACATGGTATGACCTTATTGCCCTTGGTGTCGGTGGTATGCTTGGTGTTGGAGTTTTCGTGACAACCGGACCCGTTGCAAGAGATAAATCCGGACCTGCTGTTCTTGTTTCATACGTCATTGCTGGAATATCAGCTCTTTTCTCTTCCTTGTGTTACACTGAGTTCTCCATCCAAATTCCAGTTGCTGGTGGTGCCTTTAGTTATCTAAGAGTCACTTTTGGTATGAGCTTCTATTGATCAAATGCATGATATATATATATATATATATATATATATATATATATTATATATATATATATATATATATATAACAAATTAATTGTTTTACTTTATTGCCAAAGTATTTCAAAACTCTTTAAGCATTCATGTTAGAATACTATGTGTCATCTTGGAATACAAAAGTATACTTCACTACCACTTCTTTAATTTCTTTCTTTAATTTGCATCTTTTTTTTATGCTTGATAGTATATGTATTGCTTTTGTTGCAGGAGAATTTGTGGGTTATTTTGCAGGGGCAAATATATTAATGGAGTATGTATTATCGAATGCTGCAATTGCAAGAAGTTTCACGGAATATTTGTGTACTACTTTTGGGCAGGAAGATCCAAACGCATGGCGGGTTGAAGTAGATGGTTTAATGGAAGGTTACAACATGTTGGATTTTCCAGCTGTTGCTCTCATTATTCTTCTTACTCTTTCCCTATGTCGGAGGTTCGATTAATTTTGTTAATTTTCCATTTTATTTTTCTTATTCGTCGCTATAGCAATCCAAAAGGGATCTCATCTCATGGCGTATATTTAATTCATTGGTTGTTATTAAATAATCAAATATAAATGATTGTTTTACAACACAATGAACTAGTGGATTTTATGGTAGTGACCTGTGAAAATGACACAAAATACTATCAATTAGTGCCGTTCTAAAAAAATTAAAAAAAATATATATTATTATTATTATTATTTTCCTTTTGGTTTTAACTAAATAGTCACTAATTAATTTTTTGGATATTTCAGCACCAAAGAAAGCTCCATGCTAAACACTGTAATGACAGTATTTCATGTGGTTTTCTTTGGATTCATTATAATCGCGGGTATATGCTACGGGAACACAGAAAACTTAATCCAGCCAAAAAGCTTAGCACCTTATGGTGTCAAAGGCATTATCGATGGAGCAGCCATCGTTTATTTTAGCTACATTGGTTATGATTCTGTCTCAACAATGGCTGAAGAGATTCAAAACACATCCAAAAGCCTTCCATTGGGCATAATTAGTTCAGTTCTAATTGTTTCTGTGCTGTATTGCCTTATGGCTTTGTCTTTATGCCTGATGGTTCCCTATAACAAGGTAATTAATTAGTAATTCTATTGTTTTCTTCAAAATATACACATGTTAAAAGTAAAACTCCATACCGATCATATTACTGAAGAAGAGAAACTAAAGAATCATTAGTCTAAGTTATTGTAGTTGAATTTTCTGTCTTATAAATAGGAATTCTTCAAATGGTTATTCATAGATATCGAGTAGTGCATCATTTTCCGCTGCTTTCCAACACATTGGGTGGAAATGGGCGAGCAACATTGTTGGAGCAGGCGCTAGTTTGGGAATTGTGGCATCTCTTCTCGTAGCAATGCTTGGCCAAGCTCGGTATTTGTGTGTCATTGGTAGAGCTCGGTTAGTGCCTTCATGGTTCGCTAAGGTGCACCCTACAACAGGCACCCCTCAGAATGCAACCATTTTCTTAGGTAAGTGAATAGTGAAAAAGGGAAAGATCGAATATGCATTCTATTAACACATGAGTTGATGAAAATGTCTGACAAGTAACTTGTTTTATAAGATTTATATTGACTGTTTATGTTTCTTTGACAAACATATAATAGGGTTCTGTCAAGCATCCATAGCACTTTTCACAGAATTAAGTATTGTGTTAGAGATGATCTCCATTGGCACCCTCTTGGTATTCTATCTTGTTGCAAATGCGCTAATCTATCATCGGTATGCCATCAAAACCAACAATCCACCAATCTACACACTTATCTTTCTCTTACTCCTCTCAAGTGCCTCCATCGGCTTCTCCATCTCTTGGAACTTGAACCACCAATCAAGGTGGGGGTTGGCACTATTTGGTGTTTGCATGATGGCAATCACTGCAACTTTTCAGTACTTGATGTCTTCTGGAAGTATCCAGGCTCGGGAAAATCATGAATGGCAGGTACCATTCATGCCATGGCCGGCGGCGCTTTCTATATTTTTGAATGTATTTCTTATGGCTACTTTGAGAAAGTTGTCGTATGAGAGGTTTGGTGTGTGGGCGTGTTTGATAACTTTGTTTTATTTGTTGTATGGTGTTCATTCGACATATCAAGCTGAAGAAATTGAAATGGAAATGGAGCGTGATGGTGATGGTATGAGAGAACATTGTCCTAATTCAAATGGAGAACAATCAAAGGTTGATATTCAAGTGCTTTAATGAAAGGAATAACGTTTTCTTCGACCGTTTTGCAATTTTTTTTTTAATAACTTTTAGACTTCATATTAAAATTTCTTTCTTGAAATTGATATCAAACTTAATTAATTAACAACCACAAAATCAACTTAATTCGTTCATGCTCTCCACTTTAGCAGCTTTGCAATAAAGAGTAAAAATTTAACCATCTAAAAGGCTTGTCTATGGCTTTGTCAATAGTCCTGATGAGTAATGACTCTCATGCTCCTATGCACACAATTTAATAGATAAAAGTATTGAACTTTATAGAAATTTATATGCATACAATTGAAGTTTATAGAAATTTATATCCATACAGTTTAATAAATACTAAAAGTATTCATGATATATTGAACTTCATAAAATTTTATATACATACAATTTAATAGATAAGTATTCACAATAAATTGAACTCCATAAAATTTAATGAATTATCACGTCATCTTTTTATATTTCATACAATTCTATGAAAATTTTCTCATAGTGCATTGAACTCTATAAAGTTCAGTTATTGAACTTTATAGAACATTATAAACACTAATTTTTAATATTTATTTAAAAAATAATAAAATTTTCATTTTATTCATTGAACTCTAAATTTATTGAATATCAAAATCCATTAAATGACAGCTAAATTTGTAATATCATTCAACTCTGATATTGAAATCAACATTGTGAATACTCTAAAGATATATATAAGACTCGTTAGTATACACACGACAATACTAAGATGTAACGTTACTTGAGGATACAAACTATATTTCTATCATGCATCTAATACTTATACGACAAAACATGCTAATTACTCATGGAAAATTACCCAGAGAATAACGTTGGAAAACCAACAAAATAAAGATCCTGATTTTGAAACAGATTTGCTATAGAAAAATATCTATTCGTAATCCATTAGAAATTACACTCTAGGTTTTGTAAGATTTGAGGTTTGTAGGAAATCATCAATTTTTTTTAATTATTTTAAAGATCCACAATCTTTGGAAAATTACCAAATCATTTTTAAATATGTCAGTATGTTGGAATTATTAGTTTTTGAACTTCTTTTTTTAAAAAGAAGTTGTCTTTACGATAAATCGAATCGAAAACCTAATTACATACACCAACACACATTAGTGACCATTTAGCCTAAGGCTTGATTCATTTATTTCATCCTCTATTTTATTTATATACATAATAATAATAATAATAATAATAATAATAATAATAATATTATTATGATTATTATTATTATTATTATTATTATTATTATATGTATGGATACATATATTTTTGTGTATTATGCTCCTTATTTAGACAGCTAGGAGTCGACAACGAGTATTCCCGTTATTCTGACGTGGCGCCAAGAAAACGCCGGTATAACGGCGGAAACACCGCCCCCCTTAGTCGTTATATCTCGTTATGATAAGGTGCAGTGTGGTGATAACGTGTGCAAACGGGTATATTTCGATCCAAAATGAATTCCAACGTTCACATTTTGAAGATTTTGAACCGTTGTAAAACGGTCAAAAACGTTAAAAAAAATTAATATTTCAATCTTTTACTATATATATATATATATATATATATATATATATATATATATATATATATATATATAAAACTTATTTTTTATCTACAAACTCATATCAAACCATTTAATTTCAAATCTTCAAAAAAATTTCTCTTTTCATTACTATGGATCAAAACCACAACACTCCTCCTCCAAACACAAATACACTTCCACCTCTCAGTTTTGCACAATACGAATTGTACGCGAACATCCTCAACACTTAAGGCAACTTTTTCAATCCAGCCTCACACCCACAACAATTCCCTACAACCCTTCCACAAAACCCTTTCAACCAATTTGCTACAATGCAAAAAAATACCATACAATCACCACACACCCAAGAAACGGTACTCGAGACGCAAGGGGGGGGGGGGTGCGAAAAAAACGGCTCAGAAAGAGAGAGCACGAAGGAAAGGGAAAGCGGTTGCAGTGGAGTAATCGGAGGACGAACCTCCAACATGGTGGACTGCGGATGAGGAATACGCGTTGGCGGTGGCTTGGTGCGGGACATCAAAAAATCTAACACAAGGAAACGATATGAGAAAAGTTGCTTTTTGGGAAGCCGTGATCGGGAAATTTCGTACCATTTTGAAGAAGGATGAAAATTATCGCAATCACGACATGTTGAGTAGCAAATGGACTCAAATAAGCAAGAAGTGCACCGAGTTCAATTCCGTCTACAACAAACTTTCCTCGCACAAGCAAAGTGGTGAGACCGGTTTTGACGTTTATAGAGCGGCGAGGGACCAATATCATGTTGAGACCGGTCACCTTTTTTAGCACGAAAAGATTTGGGAGATTGTCAAGGATGACCCAAAGTGGAATAAAACGGAAACATTTACGGAACAACAATCGAAGAGGTCTCGCGGCTCGGGTTCGGTCGACGTTTCGGACGCACGCACGAACATCGATCTCAATGTGGACACGAATGAGATACCGGACGACTTGAACGACCTTGAAGAGATCTTCCCGCCTCGATGAACGATAGGCCGCGACAAAGCGAGGCGTGCTCAACGACACACGGAGGAAGGCGAAAGTAGACGGCGAGAGCAAGCCGAAATGAAACAAAAATTTGACGATCACAACGAAATCACGCGTAAAAATTATGAGTTGCAACGGGAGCATTTAGAGTTTCTTCGTCATGAAGCCAAGGAAGATCGCATTGTGAAGGATTTGGCAATTCTCCAAACTAGCGAGGAGAATATGTCACCGAGACGGTTGGAGGTGCTCCGAAAAATGAAGGCGAAGATCGAGCGGAAATATTTAGACGAAGATTAGTGTTTTTTTTCGTTGTAATGTTTTTTTTTTCGGTCAATGTTTTTTTTCTCGGTCGATGTTTTTTTTTTCGTTGTAATGTCGTTTTTATTTTTTTTCGTTGTAATGTCGTTTTTAATTAAGTATTTATTTTAATTATGTTTTATTTTATTTATATGTTTTTAAAAATTATTGTTACACAAATTTAAAAAATAAAACAAAATAGAAAAATAGGAATTAAAAACATAAAAAAAAAATGATATGTGTTATTACATGTTATTTGGTGTTGCCCATTTTCACCTTACCAAAAGTATGACTAGGATGATGAGGTGGATACTTTGAGTGTGATAACATGTAATAACATGTTGTCCACATACAGTAGCCTTAGGTTTGTATATTTAACTTTACATTTTACTTTCCAGAAGACAGTTATTGATGTGATGAATTAGAGGAGAGCCTCACATGCATTAACTTCGAGCATGTCTTGAAGTGTGGGGAAAGGCTGAACATTTCATCTAGAAAAATCTCCAGGAAAATCGTAATATCATATCACAATGATGCGTTATTTACAATGTCATTGGATCCATGATGTGTTGTGGCAACAATTGGGTAACGTAAGTGAGTTGATTTCGACAAAATTATTCCTTATTTAGTAAGGATTATAGACTTTTTGAAAATTTCCACTAAGGTCCCGTTTGATAGACATCTTTCTAGGTTCAAACATATCTTTCTGGCTGAATAGACCGGAAAAACTGTTTGATATGCACAAAAAAATTGGTCTTTCCCGGTAAGATATGTCTTTTCCAAAAAGCTTCAAAAAACATACTTTTCTGGCTGAATAGGTTGGAAAAACAATTGTGCCCTAAACTCTGCATCTTTCTTTCTTGCATTATTAATTTCTTTTAAATAATTTTTTAATTTCTTTTTTATTTAATTATTATATATTAATAAATATTATTTTTAATATATAATATTTATGTATTAATTAATATTATTTTATTAGATTATTAATTTCTTTTAAATAATTTTTTTATTTCTTTTTAATGGATTAATTCTTTTTATTGGATTATTATATATTTAAAAATATTATTTATAAATATATAATATTTATATATTAATAAATATTACTTTATTGGATTATTTATTTCTTTTATTTAATTTTTTTAATTTATTTTTATTGGAATAATTCTTATTTTTTTGGACAACACTACCATCATCCTAATATATTTTGAAAAAATTCATCAATCTCTCCACTATTGGACATAAACCGAGTCAAGAATCACATCTTGAGTTATAATTTTTTTAATTGCTAGAAAGAATAACGACGTAACATTAAATTGAAAAAAAAAAACTAAAAACAACTTAATCGACATTTTATTTGGAATTTAAATGATTATTATGTAATTTTGATTTTGTATAACAATTTGTATGTTTTTATAATTGTTCAACAACTTCATCTATCACAGTTTAAACAACAGGGTAATACTGCTATTTTTCATCATTCAGCATAGTCAATCAGATGTACAATCAAACAACATGGTTTCTTTCCCAGTCAGAAAACTTTTTCATACAACAGCACTTTCTCAGACAGCTTTTCCCTGACAGAAACTAACAAACGGGGCCTAAGCATTGTTATTATTAGCAATGAATTTTTGGTGACGGGTTTTGGTCATGGTTGTTGCATTTCTCTCTCGTAGTCGGCATTTTATGATATTTGGCTAAAGAGTCGAACATAAACTGCAAAGCTTTAAGTAACTTTGAGGTTAAACTCAGTTTAAGTTTATCATGAGTTTGGTCGGCCGTTAGCCTAGATATGCAAAATAAATAAATAAATATGGATTCATTTCATTGCAATCAAGGAATGTTCACTATCATTTTGCCCATTTAAAATACTTCATAGCATATATATCTAATGAAAGCATTTCAGTGCAAGACAAATTAGCCTATACTAACCATAAAAAAAATTAAGTTTTTTATAATTAATTTTTAGTTCAACTCCAATTGAGTACCAAATTCGTGTGTGAACCATTCCAATCGCACTTCATTTTCATCACCAAAATCTTCCTATTCTAATAAAAGAGTAGTTTTATTCTCCTTTTGACATGTGTCATCATATTAAGCCTCCTAATTAATGCAGATTTTAGGTATTTTTTTTGTCAGTGGTCAGATATTATCTCTTAATAATGAATGTCACGTGTCAATCTAGGATTTTTCATTTTAAATTTAAATTTTCACTTGATAAGATTAAATTAAAACATGAAAATAAAAAAATTAAAAATGATATAATTTTACACATTTATTTAAATCAATGATTATAATTTTATATAACTAAAAAAATCTTTTAATTAATAATTTATTTAAAATAACTTATTAATAATTTTGAGTTTTTACTATAAAAATTGAATTAATTTTGTAACCGTGGTTCCCGCGAGTTATAAACTAGTGGAGTTAATAAATAGCAACCCACTAACTTGGTGTTCTATAGTTAATATTTAATTTTACTCCACAAACATCAAACTTAATCTAATACATAAATTGTTTAATATTTATCAAAACAATATAAATTAATCAATATATGATTATAAAAATCTAATCGAGAGTTTTACAATGAATACAATATTGAATATGATATTTAAAATAATTATACGTTTAATATTTGTCAATTTTGGTTTAACAATGCCGTTCAAATTTATTTATTTTGTCAATTTGACATACCTTTCAAAATTTAAAATATAACTAATTATGTATTATAATTGTTATGTTTCATTAAAATAGTATTATAGTAACATAATTAAGGTATTTTTAACATTAATTTATTAAATTTATAGGTTTTTTTTTATGTGTAGATGGTATAGAAAAAAAAATGTTTGAAGAACTGAGAAAGTACTAATTTATATTTTGGTACCAAGATTAGAGTTGTCCATATAAGGCTACAAGGAGTGGGTGCACTAAGCCCACTCATCAAACTTGTTAGCACACACCATGAGTTGTTTCATCATCGAGAAGAGAGAAGGAAAATATGATGGTGGTAGCTGTGAATTTGTGGTTAGTCCTTTTTCATTTGATTTTTTTATTTATTTTTATTTCCAAATCCAAAATGTATATATGTTTTAGGATAAAAGTTTAGATGACAGATAAAAATCTGATATAACAAGATGTTAAACATGTTATGACTCGTTATAGCCTAAGGTATTAGTTCAAGAATTAAGTTTGCAGAATAGATAAGTGAACATAAAAAGACAAGCAACAATTTATTTTATTTTATTGTATTTATTGTTGAAATCTCATCAATTAAAATCTTGCAATCAACATACTTTTTTACATTCTGAAATTGATTTAAAACACATACTACATTGATCTTTATTATTGTTATTTTTATCACAACAATATGAAGGTGTGCATCCTTGACGTGACAAACAATTAGTCACTTCCTGTATTGTCTCTTTGATCCAACATCTACCACCTGTACACAAAAGAGGTCAATATTCATATATTGTAACATTGACTTTAGATTTGGATTTATTTTTTGTACACCTTCAGATTAACCTTTTAAACTTGTATAAGATAACATTTCTTAGCGAGTATAATAATAACAAAAAACAAACTAAGAACTTTCATTTATAATTTTTAAATATATCAAACTTTTATCTCTTGGTGAGAACTTCTACTTTGTTATAGTTATGACTAACGATTTTTAATGTATAAAATGTTTTATTCCCGCAAAAGTTCGTATCAGCTCAAGAAATTACTCATATAATATATAATTTCATGATAAATCTTATCATTTACATAAAGTAAATTGCCGAAGATCATAACTACATAAATTTTTTTAATTACTAAGCACCATGTTATACGATACATATAGTTTAAAACTTAAGCAAATAATACTAAAAGCGGTTCAACAAATTACCTGTAGCCATACAAATCATAAGAAAAAGAAGAAGGTGACGACGAGTAAGCATAGGAAAGTTCTTCGTGTCAAATTATTTCAACCAGTAAATATATAATTGATCAACACAAGAACTAAAATTTATAACGAACATTAAAAGAAAAAAAATCGAAAGCTACATGAGCTTTGCATGAAAAAGTTTGAAATGATACATGCCGGTTACATGATCAGGGTATATATATATATTATATATATATATATATATATATATATATATATAGGTTCTATGGAAAACAAGAAACCCTAAAAAAAACCTTAAAAATGCATAAAAAAAATACTTAGACATCACAAATCTTTTTTTGATTTTATATTATGATATTTCTCAACAGTCATATGTGTTGCGGAGGCAAATATGTATACATGTATCAACAATGCATATATACGAACATTTTTCAAAAAAAAAAAAATCGTTAAATCTTTTTTTTGTTGAACCTAGATATGGCTTAGACGCTACATTCGTTAATATTAGTAGTTTTGGTTTTGAAAAATGATGAGCGGATTAAAAGTTCTCAACTTCCTGCAAATCTTTTGGTTTTCAAAACAATTCCACAGGCGTACCGATGGATAGAGGAAAGGTAATATTTATATATGTTAAGAAAACAATAAATATTAAGAATGAGAGAATCAATCTCAATCAATCATTATTTTTTGCCGCAAAGCACACACGCGTACCGATGGATAGAGGAAGGGTAATATTTATATATGAATATAAATATAAGTATATTAATATATGAATCCACCACATCTCTTTTGTCACCAACCACCACCACTGTCACCTTCAACACTAACCACCGTTGTCATATTCAATTATAAATAATCACTTGTTCATAAACTTATTCATATATGAATATATGTATTCATATATGAATACACTTTATATATATATATATATATATTAATATATATATATATATATATATATATATATAAGGCTTAGGTTATTTTGTTTAATAAATTGTTTATTGTATGCATAAATGTGGGGCCAATCAAATTTACTTATTTAAGAAAGTGATTAATATACATTATTGAATAAATATAATTGAAAAATCATCTTAATTAATTACAAGGGTAATTTAGTCAATTAATTAGATTTAATAAAGGAACATTGCATTTTTTAAGGGATCATAGATTCTAATAATTTTAAAAATCCGATTTTACGAATTATAATTCTTTTAATTCGGACATTCTGACAGAATATGTTTATGAGTATATTCAAAAATAAAAATATTCTTGAACCTAATTCTTGATGATGACTTTAAAAACTTCTTGAAGAGTAACAACTTCTTGTAAAATAACAAAGTTTTGAACAATCAATCGAAGAATAAAAACAAAAAATACATTATTTCTTATAGAATACGGGTAACAATGTTAAGAATTACATTTATTGTTAAAGGATAAAACTAAAAAAACAATCAAAACGGGGAAGAAACATCAAAATCTAACATCGACTAATACATTCTAAAAGAATAATGTGGTCCGTTCTTCAAGCATCAACTTCTGTGATTCCAACAGAATTGGAATTCATCATTCCATTCCAACGTTCACGCCCTTGATCAGCATGTCTCCTTCACGCATTCTATAAGAGTAACTGCTATGAAATTGTACATTAATACAATTACACATATTCTAACAGAATGTCATAAAAAATAAATAAAATCTTAAAAAGCATGGAATTCTTAAATATAGAATTCTTGAACGAATGCACTTGATCATTTTATTATGGACTGTTCTGCCAGAATTTAACGATGAATAATGCTTTCTTTTGTGAATATAACGAATGCACTTGATCACAATTGTTATTGCTGCTACTATACGGATGAATCAGTGGGTATTTTTCAGTTATATTGTAAATCAAACGAAATCATCAACCATACAATGATACAACTGAAACACAAAAGCCAGACAAATGAAACAGATGGGACTAAATAAAAACCTAATCGTATTGATCAAATGCAGAAAAAAAGTTTAAATCTGGTGGAATAAAGTGATTTCAATCAAAATCAAAATCAACCACCAAGGTTGTGGAAATAAGAACCTAATCTGAATTAATAATCTTTAGCCACAAAAGATTCTCAATCCAAAGAGATGGGGTATAAAATGGTGTATTTAGAACAAGAAAATGAAGATTTAACAACATCTCTCAAAGAATTCTAGGAATCTCAGATTGTAAAAAGTGGACCTACTGCCTCATTGAAGAAACTTCAAAGGAGATATCAAGATTTGGAACTGATGGGTTTTATACAAACAATCTTATGTGTGCATGCAACCCTAGAGTTGGATCTATGTTATCACTATTAGTTATACAACATTATGAACACATAAGAAACCTAACATGCTCCTAGTAATTTCGAAATTCACAGAGAGCAGAATAATACATACCTTTTGTTGTTATATAGTAATAACCAAAATTCTTGAGTTTCCTTAGCTCTTGAAAGCAAGTACCACAAGTGTTGTAAATATAATGGCTCACAAAACACACTTTGGGTGAGAGGATGAATATGAGAGAGAGGAGGAGGAAAAGTACTAAGCTCCAAATTCGTCCCTAGTAGGGTTTTCCCAAGGAATCGTCAAATTCTAGTGCCTTAGGGTGCTATTTATACTTGAGGCTAGCTAGGGTTTCAAGGTGGAAACCCAAATCCCTTAGCTTAGGGCATGAGCAAGTCCATGGACTCTTTCCTTAAGCCCTTGGACGAAAACTCCTAGATCCTTCTAGGATTTTGTTCAAGCCTTAATAAAGGTGATCCAATAGCCCAAAGTCTCAACTATCAAATAATTACAAACAGCCCCCCTGTACTTTTAATTAATTCCTTTAATCCCGAAATTAATTCCTAATTAATTCTGATTTAAATACTAATTAATATATGATTCCAAATTATTATATATATAATCATATAATATAATAAATAAATCATATTTATGCCCTAATCAACCTCTCTCCTCAACTTTCATCCTGTCTAGTCACCCGTGTGAAGGCAACCCAAAGGACCATGCTCCCATCGGGTCAAGTACATACCAAAATAGTATGGACTTAGACACTAATCCAACAGTCTCCCACTTGGATAAATCTAATAACTATTCTGCGTATGACTTCAGAACCTGATCAGCAATCGTAGCTTTCAAAAGCCGTTGTCAACTCTGATCAGTAACTTGTCCTTTAGATAAGGGATTATATATTCCTCCATTCTCAAGATATCGTATAGACACGGGACATGGATTTGAATCATTCTCTCTGTCTATGTATTGTTTCCCGACTTCTGATTCATGACGACTGACAACAGACTACAATTGAACACATCAACTTAGTCCCGGCTTGGCCAAGCGCTTAGGTGTCATCACTAAATCATCGAGGGGCCCACAGATATCGCTTTTATCCCACTTTGGGTAAAAGGAATGGATAAACTTTGACTCAAATGCTTGCTTGCACCTACTAATCGAATCACACACACAATAAGTTTTATAACACCAAGTTACTAGTGCGTTTACTTATCATCAATGTGCAACCGACCAGCAAATAACAACTCACAGGTCTCGGTTTCAAGAATATACAATGTTATCGTCTCACTAATCACCCGTGATAAATTCATGAAGTGATTCAAGTGAGCGTGGGTTTAATCCAATACTTTAATCTTACCAAAGCACTCATGAACTCTGCAGCAAACTTGTGCTATGTCTAAATACTTTAGACAATCTGCAGACATATTCATGAGAGTCTTCCTTCATACCTACTTCCTGTTGGGTTTTGAGCATTCTAACACTCCTATGGTGTACATGCAACCCTAAATACCTTGGATCTATGTTTTCTCTATTATACATGCAAATATCAATTTCCAAGGGTTATTCTAACTAGCATATATGAAGTACAAGTAATAATAAACTAGTAGAAATACATACCTCTTTGTTGGTGCTTGATTCCATGGAGCTCAAGAGCCTAGTGCCCCAAGTGTGACACCTCAAATGGTTCACACAACACCATGAACATTTGGAATAACCATGAGAGAAGATATTAGTCTTATATCTCTATGAAATCGTCTTGCCCTCTATGTAATACACTCGTGTCGATTTCACCAACAATGGGGTCTTTATATAGTGTGCACATTAGGGTTACACCATGTAACCCATGACTTAACCCATTCCTTATGCTCCATGGGTTTTAACCTCCATGGAGTATCCATGGGCCACCACATGGGTTAAACCCAACATAAGGAATCATTGATCATGAGCCCACATATATAAGAATCTATTATTTACACAATCAATCCCCATATATTTATTTAGTCTCTTTTGATCACTAAATTAATTCCAAATTAATTCTAGATCATAACTAATTAAATAATATGATTTCATATTAATATATTAGAACTTATAATATATTAATATGTCACAAATATCTTCTTCTCATTAAAAGGTCTATCCAATTGTTCTGATGCCATGCAACCCAAATGGACCATGCCGGGTCGGGTCAAGTATATACCAATTATAGTTATGGACTTAGACACTAATCCAACAGTCTCCCACTTGGATAAGTCTAATAACTATTATTGCAAGTACGCCTTCACAACCTGACCAGCAATCGTAGCTCTTAAAAGTTGCTGCCGAACTTTGAACAAATCAATGACGCGTCCATTAGATAAGTGATCATATATTCGTCCATTCTAGATATCATATGGACTGAGACATGGATTAATCATTCTCTCTGTCCATTGTTGTTTCCCGATTTCCGATTTATGATGACTGACTAATTGAACAAATCAAATCAGTCCAGGCCCGGCCGAGAGCACTTATATTTTGTCATCACTAAATCATCGAGGGGCCCACAGATATCGCTTTTATCCCTTTAAGGGTAAAAGGAATGGATAAACTTCGACTCATATGCTTGTACGGACTACTTGTTGAATCATACACAAAGGCACGTTTTATAACATCAAGTTACCAATGCGTTTACGTGCAATCAATGTATAACCAACTCATAGTCAACAACTCATATCTCTAGGTTTGAAGAATATAAGATATTATCGTCTCATGATTCACTCGTGATAAAATCCATGAAGTGATTCAAATGAGCGTGGGTTTAATCCAATACTCAGAACTTATGAGCGCTCATAAATGTTGTAGCAACCATTGCTATGTCTAATGCACATTAGAC